ATCACATCACAGCCGGTCGCGGAACAAATCTGCATGACCGTCATCACGTTGTGACCGATGGGGTTCCTACCGCTGTAGGCGAGCGTGCGTACGTTGAACGTGCCGAACGATAGGTCGCCCTCTCGTGCCTTCTTCTTCGCATTCGCCTTGACGGCCGCTGCGGTCTCGTGTCCCTCTCGGTCCGCCTCGCGTTGCGGGTGTCCTTTCTTCCGTATTTTCCGAGCGGCGAATTTCCTCGCATCAATCCATCTCTGCAGAGCTCGGTTCTTGCCTGTGGTGTTTTGACGAGGAGGGTGCAGCACTTCCTCCCCGCGGTGCCCGCGGTTGTCTCCATTCTCCCGCGAGCGGTGCTTACGTGGTGTTTACGAATCTCTCTACTCCTCCAGCTTCGTGGGCCACGCTTTCCGCGACGGTGGTTGCCAGGTGCAGTTTGCCGCTTTGCATTACTGCCGCGGGAACAGTGTCCATACACACCTCTCGCCACTACCACCGTTTGTGCATCCTCGCCGCCACGCTGAGCCAGCGCTGCGGTGAGTTGCACCTTGGGACACCACCCGCCTACTATCTGTTGTGGCCTGGTTCGCCCGCGAGGGACTCACTGGGTCGATTTCGGCCCCGGCCGGGGAGCAGGCCAAGGGGGGGGTGATGTACTGCTGCATGTACGTAAAAAAAAAAAAGTGCTTGGTTTTTAGGTGTACAATACAACAAAGATACATGGCAAGAACATTGGAGGTTCCTACTTCCATCCGTCCGCCAATCACACCTGCAGGAGATGGTTGTTTGGTGATGATACCCCCCTGGACACACGAGTGAGCGCAGCAAAGACATATACCCTGGTCTCTTCTCTTGTTCCCGTGTTTGTTTCTGATTTAGAAAAAAAACAACGCGATTTGTTCTTCTTGCTTGCCCGCCCCCGTCCAGCAAAAAACAATTCAAAGATAATGTATTGCTCCGCTGTCAAGGAGAGGAAGAAATCTTAGGGTCGCACAAAAAGAGTTTCGCAAGTGTGTGCAGCATGACGCCACCACCCTTCTTAAAAAAATTATACGTAAATTACGAACAAAATCCACAACACACAAAATTCGGACTGAGGCTCCAAAATTTTTCCATCGAAGGAAGCAGATGTAGAAGAAAGTTTCCTGGAAGCTTCGTGCAGCCAATTATTTTGTAGATTTAAGCGGCTTCATATGATTGGCTGAGGGGCAACAGTTCTCCTCTCCCACCCACCGAGCTCCCCCTGTCCGCAGGTGGTACTGATTATTTGTGGTGCGCTGCATGACATCTGCACCCTGCTGACACCGCTCTCTCTCACTGCTGTTGAGTGTGCGTGCATGCAATGCGTGCGCGTGTCTCTGTCGCCCTCAAACTCAGCACACGAAATCGCACCAGAACGTAGGGAGAGAGTAATTTTATGCTGGCCGGCAGCCTCTCTCTGCACGAATTGCTGTGTCGCATTTCAAGCGTTCGGGAGAGGAGGAGAGGTTTTTGGGACGGGGGCACATCAAGTCAAACTCTCTCTCTATGCTAGCGGAGCAGAGAACAAGCTTACGCGGGGACGGACGCGCCCGCCTACACCAGGATGCCACTGTGTGTGCTCTTCCTCCTGTCCGTCTGCTCCTCTTTGCTGGCAGTGCTGCCACCACCTCCACGTCATCGTTTGTAATTGTCTCCACGGTTCCGGCGCTCGCTCTCCTCTTTCCCGTTGCCTCAACCTGTGTGTGTGTGACGGGCGGCGGGTGTTGCTGACCTAAAGCCGCGCAAACAAGCCCAACTTGGCTTTCTGGCCGTTCAACCTCCCTCTCGCCGGTGCCGCGCCAACTCCAGGGTCTTTTCCCTGGGCGCTGGCCTTCTCTTTGGCCGCGCGGACTGCTGTATGTGCGTGGGTGTGGTGCCTGATGTGTTAAACCGAACAATGTTGCTAAATCGGAAAATCGTCAATAATTTTCCACAAAACGAGCCTCCCTCCGCTGTTGAGTCTGATTATGTTTTCCTTACCGTGGGTTCTGGCGAGACTGTCAGGAACGATCCTCAGAACGATGGCTTAAATCAAAATATATTTCCTTACTTCGGAAACTTTTTAAGCCCGAAAGAGTACTACAATAAAATATACTTATTTTGAA